AATTTAAATTTTTATTTTTTCTTGGTTAGTGCCCTGGCATGGCCAGGTGGATAAGGCGCTCGACTCACAATCTGAGGGTCGCGGGTTCGAATCCGCATACCACATTCTGCCCCCCCTCCCAGTGGCACAGCGGTATGTCTGTGGACTTATAACGCTCGAAACTGGATTTCGACACCCGTAGTGGGCAGCGTACAGATAGTCCATTGTGTTGCTTTTTGCTTAACTTCAAAAAACTTCATTCACCCATTTAGGCTATTCTTTGATTCGCTCTTTACTTCGTCATGACTACGGTATTAGGCAGATATCTGGTTTCTCTACCAGATCATTAGAAAATATATATTATCATCATTGCATCTGTCGCGGTTTATCTGGAATTAATCATTTTCTTTATTTGAAGTCCCTATTTTAATGCTCTCGACTTATTTGTTCTCTCGCTAACCATTAATTTTCAAAATCTAACGGAATTTGTTTCTATATTTTGAGAATGTAGTAGTATGGGGAAAATAACGACTATATGATATGAAAAAACTTTACAAAAAATGAAGATAAAAATATAAATTTGGTTTTCAACGCCATCCAAATATTTGGTGTCATTAATTTTCGCCCATTATAATTTTTTTTTGCTTCCTTCATTAATGATCACCTGGTGGTTAAGGCGCTCAACTCGCAATCTGAAGGTCGTGGGCTTGAATCCCCGTCACCGAACACCCATACTTTGCGATATCAAACCAAAACAACTGCCATGATATATATATAAACAACAGATAGACAACAGGAGAAGAGAGCAAAGTTACGGGTAAGGAAAAGTTTGGCGTGAAGTTAACTACGGTAGAAGTGATAAGCCTTTGAAACTTAATTCAAAATATGTTGTAATATTTTTTTTATATTTAAAGGGTATATGCAACCTTAATGGTATTTTGTTGCATATGTATCTGTATTTATGTAAGTAAGCTACGTTACGAACTCAGGTTTATCACAGTTCAACTAAACTCAAGATAAAAACATTGAAAACAATATACCTTCACCATGTCTTACAGAATATAAATATTTTTGTCATATTTCATAATTGAGTATTAATCGAATTTATGAATGAATCTTAATTCATTTCTGCTTTTAATGTATATGTTCCTGATAAAAATGTTGTTAAAACACGTCGAAACTTCTTGATAGATTGTTGAGTTTTTATGAAGTCGAAACTAACACTTTAAGTAAATTTGGATACTTCTTATTGTCTATGTTGATTAATAAAACGTAAATGTTTCTTGTAAAGAGGTTCATTTTGACACACACGTACGAAACACTTAAGCCTATAAACATACTTTTGTTATATTTATTACTTGAGAATTAAATGGTGTTCAATAAAACTTCGAAATATAAAGTCAGACTCTGAAATATCAAACCAAAATATAAGTGATAGAGTGACGTTTAGGTTGGAAAAAAACTGTTTAGAAAACACGGGTGTCCGTAAGCTATTGAACCACTATACTGAATAGAATGAGAACTACTCTATCAGATTTGTCCATAAACAGTGTTGCCGTTAGCATAACTTAACGTGGGCACCGGTCGCCGCTTGAAAGACATCCGATATCCTCCCACATATGTGTCACTACCCCCGGTGGAATCGTCAACGTTGCCATATCAGGAACCTTCGTCCTTCACATCCTCCATCTAAGGTAATGGGTAGGAGGGTGTACTTCAGACATCCCATAAACTGTAACCCTTTATATAGTTCCTATTATATTCAATTAAGAAAGTTGTTCAATAATTTTTGGACACACTGTATTTCCATATTAATTATACAAAAAAATTCGTAAAGATTTAGCTGTCTTAGCAAACACGAAATAGGCCTAACATATGTTAAGCATTGCTCTTGTAATATAGCGTTTTAATGGCTTGTCTATGAAGACCTTTTCAATTTACAAACTTGAAACAAAACAAAACAAAAAATATGTATAATCAGAAAATTCAGTTTTATGATGAAAAAGTGCAAGCGATTACAAAGTTATGCTCAGTTAAACTCGAAAGAGATTTTAAATATAGAATATGCATAAAATTTTTAGAATATAAAGCTCTTACAAACTTATGGTTAACGAGTCTACACAAATATAAACGTATCGTTAAGTACTGTCTAAGCACAAATTTCATTAGGAGAAACAGCAACTCCGTCATAAAATATAAAAGTTGTTTTTTCCCATCGAATTATGTTTCCGTACAGATGTCTTTCTGATACATCAGCACATTTACTCAGGTGTAGAATCTGTTTACTGTCGAGTGCTGAGTTCCACATATTCAGTTCACTCAGCTCTCCTTCCATACTCTCAGAAGCAACAAATCCACCACCAACTGTGTCCTGTTCTTGTCCAAGAACAACTGTACCTCCTGCTTGAACTGTTTTCCCCTTATTTACCCCAGTAGAATTGCCATGACAACGATAACCATTCATAATGATAGATGACCCTCCTTCCCAAGAAGACCATACGTAGCAAACATGATGCCATTTTCCAACCTCTATGTCAGAGGGACACTTAATTTGTAGCTGTAATTTACCACCGATATAGAAACCCATGACATTCCCGGCTTCCACATAAGTTAGAATCTCGTTATCCGTTGCATCCTGGGCATAAGAAAATATATGGAGTCTTCTATCTAAACGATGGACTTTGAACCAGTAACAGAGAGTAAACTCCTGAAGATTTGGTAAAGTACCATCCATCACCAAACGAGGGAAGGAACTAGCTGTAGAAGGAGGAAACTTAACCTTACTGGTAATTTCGCCTTCTTCCAGAGCATGCGCCAAAAGCCATGAGAAGGTGAAGACCATGGCAACTCCACGAGTTAACAGACTGGATAGTTGCATGATTTCTACAAGAAAATGAAAGATAAATAATTAAAAATAAAACACAGAAACTTCTAGCTTCATTAAGATCCAATTTTTGTTGTTTAACGTAATCATTTCTTACTGTTTTAAGCGTGTTCTCATTAAATATTGCTAGATTAATAGAATAATAAGAACTTGTATTAACGAACATTATACTTCTCTGAATTCATAACTAGCCTAGAAACTCCAAAGCAAAAAATAAATAAAAATCACTCGATGAAATAAACATGACTGGTGTTCATTTTGAGTAATGAATCTTGAACTACGAAATGAAGATTTCACATATTACTTGCATTCGTTTTAAAGAAACCTTTACTTGCGCATTTTCTTTCTTTTTCGGTAGATGACACTGCTTACATCTTGTGAGGTTTAAGAGTTATCTTAACCATACATTTTAATATTTTTGTAGTTTCAGATATTTGTCACGATATAACCACATTTGTTGTTTTTTTTCAGAAAAAAAAGTAATTCAAATTATGAAACCCAAATAGATCCGTAAAGTTGTGAAAGAACCTAAACTTAGTAACATTTTGTTCTCGATTTACATGCTTTTTTCAGTTTTACTAACAAGGATTCAGCCAAGACTATTTCCAAGTTTCACGAGTTTCAAACTTATTGTATGTGACAGAGTTATCTGCTCTTTCTAAACAGACGAAACAGAATCGTTGATATTATTCAGCTTGTAAATCTAAGTGAGACGCGACTGTTACGCTCTAATACAGAAATACAGCATTATCAACATAACTTTGTATCTTAACATATCTAGAAATTGATCCAGTTATTAGCGCAACTAAACTCCACACGTATGTCTATATCAGTAAACTTAATACGGTAAGAGCATCAAACTCCACACCTACGTTTTTCATTGTAATATAGAGTTTCACATGTTTTTGTTTCATCATTTATCACATAGAACATCTATAACTTCACACATATACACGTCAACTCACCGCTTGAATTCCAACAATAAGGAGCTTTTCCCATTCTTCTGAATCTTCCTAAAGATATTTTATGTTAAAAGGTAAAACATGATAACTTATACGTGTTGGACGACATCAACATATTTCGGGATCGATCTCAAACTTTAAATTATATCAGCAACGAAACATACGGTTACTTGGTTTGTTTTGTTTGATTTGAATTTCGCGCAAAGCTACACAAGGGCTACCTGCGCTAGCCATTCCTAACTTAGCGGTGTAAGACTAGAGGGAAGGCAGCTAGTCATTACCACACACCGCCATCAGCTGTTGACTCATTTTTTATGATCAAGCTTTTTTTTTTTACTGGTGACAAGTATATATACACACCAACTTTATTTTCAGCATCCAAGAGTCATTTCAAAGTTCTTATTTATCAAACTCCAAATTGTGAGGTTTTTGCTGTTTTTTCAGTTGCTAAGGGCAAAGCTAAACAATGAGCTATTTGTGATGTGCTCATCACGAGTACTTAAACCCGATTTTTAACTTTATTAGGCCTCCAAACTATCGCTGAGGCGCCAAGAGGACTTCTGACACATAATGTTTGATTAACCTTTTAAAAAATAAAACGTTATGCTATATACTCAACAAACACCAAGAATTACTATTTCGTATAAAATCGATATTTATTATCCCCTCATGTTTTAGATTTCGAGAAATATTGGAGTATATTGTCAAGGTGCTTATTCAAGTTTCCCAGAAATAATAAAACAACAACAACAAAAAAACAAGAGAAGCTTACTTAAGAAGTTCACCTTGAACAAAGTTGTCAGTCCACTCTCGAGTTCTTACGTCACTGGCTGAACATCTTGACTTCGAGATTATCCTCGCTCTAACATTCGCACATCATCAGGATTGGCAAGTAAGTGTATTTTATGATCTGAAATACTGTAATGTGTATACTATTATAGAAACATGTAAAACTTGGGTTTGGAGTTTTGTTGCTCTAACTGTAATGAGTATACCAATTATAGAAACATGTAAAACTTGGGTTTGGAGTTTTGTTGCTCTACCTAAAGTGAATGACCAACAACAACACAGTCATATTGACCACCGGAACATGGCCTGAAACACCACTTGAATGGAGCACTTTTCTTTTTATGCACCTTCTTGCCGTGTTATAATTTGATTTTTTTAACCTCTTCCACGTGTATTAATTACCACATCCATGTACCGCAATCTACTTTTATATGACATATTTTATTATAATACAAATACCGACAGATTGACTCCAGACCTAAAAGTTTTGTTATTTTTACGGTATTGAAAGTCGAATTTTGCAGAGCGTCAGTGCTATACAAATGTATATAAGCTTAATATATTATGCGACATTGTGTCATTTATAACATTATAAAGGAAAACTGGAAATGAAACAAATCCGTCATTTCCGTCAGAATTCCCCAGAAGACAATATTCACCAAGAAGAGTAAAAAATAACCATACTATTGTAAGATTGACTCAGTACTTACTGGCTACTTACGTAGGAATTTATGTATGTTTTTTTGTATTCATCCCTACACTGTTTTCAGTGTAGAAAAAAAGAGAGAGAGAGAGAGATATCTAACAGTTCAGCAACAGTGAATATTAGCCGGTAACATGCCCAATAAAAATGTAAAAAGCTTCGATAATGAAAACATAATTAATATTTTACTACAAAATTGTTATCGTAAATGTGATGATCATCTTTAATATATCATCGGAAATATTTCACTTATCTTCTTTAGCAATTGTAAAAATTGCACATAAGTTGCAGAATTGTCGAGTTTCAAATTGAAATCACTTAACTGCTTACGATGAAAATATGGCGATAGGACATTATCCATCTTTATGACTATATAGTAACCTATAAGACTGCTTACTTCTAATTATTTAGCAGTTAATAATACCTGTAATGCTAGGATCTGTAATAATTATGATCCTATGAAGCAAAAAAAACACATCACAACAGCCTGGAATACTTAATAAAAAAGAAAATACAGAGAACAAGCACCAAGAACAAATACAAAGAAAATTACAGGCATACAGCCATATTTCCACTGTCAAAAGCCCCTCTGAAAACGTATAGAAGATATATAATAATGCTTGGAGACGGCTTGAATGGGTAATGAAGAAAAATGTTAATATTAGTTTCACATAACAGCAGATGTACGTTTCGACAAGGTTTTGTCATCATCACGTACAAGTAGCTTACACTGACACAGATATATATATATATATATACATTATGGAACAAATAGGTCACATGACCGGATACTGTTGCAAGACTTAGAAGAGATATTTTCGATGACGAGGAACCCACTTTGAGACTAATAATGGCTGGAGACGGCTTGAATGGGTAATGAAGAAAAATGTTAATATTAGTTTCACATAACAGCAGATGTACGTTTCGACAAGGTTTTGTCATTATCACGTACAAGTAGCTTACACTGACACAGATATATATATATATATATACATTAT